ATTAGAGGTGCACATAAACGTTAACTGCAAATAATAATAATACTACACTGGATTAGTGTGCACTCTAAGGAATTGGAAGGGGTATGCTGCAGTGTCTCTTGAGAAGTACCTCTTATACTTAGCAAAAAGGGCAAAGGTCTCTGGATAGCAACTGCTAAGGGGCAGCCTTTAGTCCTGACTCTTCAACTAGCTACACATTGGGGCCCAGTAGCCGTTGGCACACTTGAAGGCAGTCAACAAGGTCTGCAGTCAGAAATAGAGCTATAAAGTAGCTGTGTAGGTAGTTTCTAAGGTTCAATCTCTAGTGGTAGCAACAAGTAATGGCTGCAAGGCCCTCTCACCAGACCCAGTGACACGGCAGCAGTGGTCCCTCTGATTAGAAGTCCACTTGCTCTGGGTTGCCTGGGGTGACTCCGGTCTGTAGCACAGTAAAACCTGTTTCCTTGCAGTGGCTCCATCCCTCTGCACTCACATCACAACTCTGCACTCTCTGTTCCTCAGTACAGGAGAGGGCTTTCCAGTGCTCATTCTCTCTCTCTCTCTCTCTCTTCCTCCTCCAAGATGGTCCCTCAACACAGAGCCAACCATCCTCTATCTTCTTCCTTTTTGCCTGGGAAAAATCCTGTTTTTCCTTCTTGCTGTCTTGGTAGGGGCTGTAGTTCAAGCCCCATAGCCTCCAGTTCAAGCCCCATAGCCTCCAGTATACAATGCTCTTCCCGAGACCACATTTCCTGCAACCATGGGTTGTAGGAAAGTAAATTGCTCAATTCCCCCATCAACACCGTCAGTATTGATGGGGGAATCCCTCCCACAGAGCTTTTGTACTCCAGCAGCAGGAGGTTTCCCAGCCAATAGAATACAATGATAGCTGCAATAGCCTCCAGAAGTGATTTAATGAAAAAAAAAAGACAGGCTGGTTGTACTGAAGTCGATCCAGAGAACGACATCACTACAACCAGCCTGCCCATACATGGATTAAAAATTGTGTGCGTCATTCCAACTATGGCCGGATTTACAGTTCATTTACTACTCTGTGAGCACTATGAACTGGAAAAGTGAACATATATATTTGCTGAGGACATGAGATTTATGAACGAGAGTCCATTCACACTTCTGTGACTTGCCATGCGACTTTGGGGTCAAAAAGTCACATGACATGTTGTACCCCATGTTTCCCAATGAGTACCACTCAATCTGTGCAACTTCAACTTGCACTATTTTGGTAGGAATTTTAATGCAAATTTAGTCCAGTGAATGTAATGTCAGATCAAAGTCGCATCACAAGTCACATCAAAGTCGCACTGAAAATTGAATGGAGATGCACTAAATATGAATGGAGCCTTAGGTCACAAAAAAATAGTGAAAAGGAAAATAGAGTTTTCCCATAACAAGCCTTCAACAAAAACCTAGATATTTGCTGTGTTTAATTTGCATTGGAATGACAGATTGAACCTGTACATTTATTATTGATACATGAGGTCCTTTGTAATCTTGAATAGAAAACAAAAAACAGAAAATCAATACAACATTCTAGGTCTTTGTTTATACAACATCTTGGTATCAAAATGATTAAAAACCTCCCTTGGTTATATAAAACATCCCAGGGTTCGCTTACGTGGATCACAATTCATGAAACCAGCTATAGGACCTGTGCACATAGAAATATCTGACTGCACTTTAAGGCTTTATTCACTCGAAAAATTGAGCCCTCCTGCTGATTCCTGTGGCAAGTATACGGAGGATTCCTGCTCCTGGGATCCCAGCCCAATCATTGTCAGCGGCTAAGCCTGTACAACTGAATTGCAGGCTGAAAGAAGCCTGTATCTGCAGGTATCCGCACATTCAACAGTTACCTGCAGCTGGACTCACATCTTTGCCCCCAGGCGCATATACATTTCTTCTGAGATCAAAGAAAAAACAAACAAGTAGCCACGTGCCAAGACTTTATAAAGTCTTTTTAATGATGTAATACATGCAGGCCAAAAGTTAAAGTGTTACTAAACCCAGGACCCTGCATTCACTATATCTGGTCTCTCCAACAGTACACAGAACATGGAAACCTTTTCCCATCAGCAATATATAGCAGTCTTGTGACTTCTATTAGTGTCCAGCAGAGCACTGGTTATAGCTTGTAGGGGGAGTTTTCTTTCTGCTCTAGGGGGATGTAGAAAACCCCTTACCTCTGTATGGACAGTGCTGATTGGCCCTGTGCTGATCACATACACTCTACCAAGAAAAAAAAACAAACAACAACCTCTTTAGCAATACACACCAAACTGAGCATGTGCAGAGTGTCTCCACACATACGTATTATTAGGAGATAAGAGGGAGACACTGGAAGAAGGGGAGGATCAGAAAAGACAGGATCAAACATCCTTTTTACACAATGCAGATGATTAACCCTTTAGGTTCCACAGTGAGTGTAACAAGCATGCTTTACTCTCCCAGAGCTCCCCTCTTATCCTCAACCCCCCCCTCCCCCAAAGCTCCCTTCTCCTCCTTAGACTTCTCCCCCCCCCTTCCAGAGCTCCTCTCTCCTCCTCAGACCCCCCCCCCCCAGAGCTCTCCTCTTATCCTCAGGACCCCCAGACCTCCCCCCCTCTCCTTCTCAGATCCCCCAGACCTCCCCTCTCCTTCTCAGATCCCCCAGACCTCCCCTCTCCTCCTCAGACCCCCCCCCCCAGAGCTCCCCTCTCCTCCTCAGGACCCCTCTTCCAGAGCTCCCCTCTCCTCCTCAGACCCCCCCAGAGCTCTCCTCTCCTTCACAGACCCCCAACATTTTTCACTGTTGTTCAACTGGATTTTTTCATTCACAATATCGTTATCAGTTATAACATCCTGCTCATCAATTAAGAGAAAAATCGTTCGATCAATTGATCAACAAAATTTTTCGTACGATTTTCTTACCGTGTACTCTTGCCATAAGTGTCCTGGAGCTGTCATTTGCCCGTAATTTAACCCCTTTGTGAAAAGATAAAACAAATCCTAATGCTTGAGCACAATTTTGCAACTCTGACATGTGTTTGTAAAACTGTACGTATCATCACAACTACTTAGTGTATGCAAGTGAATTGTAGCATTTTGTTTTTTAGGACAAATTGAGCTTTCATTTGGTGGTAAATGGTAATAGACATCTCCTGATTTTTTTATTATTATTAGACCAAAACTGGCCCAAAATTGTAAAAAGAAATATATATTTAAAAAACGTAGCTGTATATTTCTTGCTATTACCATAACCTACCACCAAAGAACAACTCAAAGTAAATGGGCAGCACAGTGGCTAAATGGTTAGCACTTCCACCTGGCAGTAGTAGGGTTGTTGGTTCGAATCCCAATCAAGGCACCACCTGTCTGGAGTTTGCATGGGTTTCCTCCCACACTCCAAAGACATGTTGATAGATTAATTGGATCCTGTCTAAATAGACCCTCTATTTATGAAGGTTAGGGACTAATATGAAAGTACAATATATGTAATTCACTGCAAAAATTGATGGTGCTATACAAGTACCTGAAATAAATAAATTCCACTGATCACAGCAATACCCATATATATATATATATATTATTTTGTTGTTTATACCTATAGTAGGGCCCAGAATCAATAGTGAGTATCTTTTTGATTTTACCTAAAACACACTGACACTGACTGCCACTGATGCTAATTTATTCTTTTGGAATCCTACTGAAAATACTCTGACCTTTCGATTCTGACCTTGACCTTTGATCCTGACCCTAACAGTAAGGGACCAACTTGCGATTCTGAATGTGCAATTTACATGAGTTTCCCCCTGTTGTGCCTAGTTCAGCCTATTCACTTCACTGGGCTGCCCTATGCGCATTTGTCACCTAATAGACGCTCCTGCTCCTTTTTGGGCAACAAGTTCAGCGCCATTTTTAAAATGTGCGTTTTGCCGTGAATGCTGCAAGAGCGGCACCATAGACGAGAATAGGAGGCTTCAAAGCCTCCTGACTCGTCCAGAGGCGTCCGTTTTGCCGCGACGCAACGCGATGCGACGCAAACGCTCCCGTTAGAACAGCACCATGTGCTGTAATGTGCAGAATTGGCAGAGGCGTTTGGGAAGCGGTAAAAACGCTTCCCAAACGCCTCTCTGCCGCCTGCACACAAGGCTAGTGTGAACGTAGCCTAAAACTTGAGCACTAGTAACTATTCAAGCAAAAAGATACAGCGGGAATACAAAATTGTCAGGAGGCCTCTGTGTACCATGGGACACTTACATCACATTTCCAAAGTCTGCCTCTTTTCCCAAAGTAAGACAGAACATTTCACTGTGAGGACATGTCATTTGTCACTTGTCACCTTAGATAGCAATGTCAGAATTGGAACATGTCATGCCACTGCAAAACTCCTGCATAAAATACAGAATATAACAACTTTTAGGAGCTGCTCTGGCTGGCTGCTTAGGAAAGTGCATACTCCAGGGCTGTCACTCCAATCCTTTTCTGAATTCTTTATGAATCAACGACCGGGCACAAGCATGCATCCCAAAAAAATCAGACTCAAGATATGCAGAGCTGTTTGGGGTCATAATATGTTAAATGGGAAAGAAAAAGACCTGGCACCAGCATGCTTCCAGTGAAATTCAAATTCCAGACATGCAGAGTTGTTTGGGGTAACAAATAGTAAAGCAAGGATGAAGAGAACCCTGCTGCCACCAGTGGGTGTGCGGACTCACAGAGAATGAGTGCAGTGCAGGGAGAAAGTATTCTGGCTTTCAGTTATAACTTGGAAAGTAGCTCTGGGGCGCCTGAATTTCCACATTCTCCCATTTTAACTAAAGGGAAAGTTTTTTCACTAAGCACTTATATCTGATTACTATTGTAATGTATGCCTTAATATGATTTTTTTACTATGGTTTTAACATTTATACAAGTTTTGTTACTTTTTAATAGTAAAAATATCCAGATTAAGCACTAGAGGGAGCTCTCAGAGACTCAGTAAAGTTACTCCTTTTCTATCTTCTGGTAGATTTCAACTGTTACTAAACCCACAACAGTAAAATCAGTCTGTATATGTAGTAAAGCATGCTTGGTATACTCACTGTGGAACCTAAGGGGTTAATCCTTCGCATTGTGTAAAATGGATGTTTGATCCTGTCTTCTCTGATCCTCCCTTTCTTCTACTGTCCCCATGCCATCTCCTGATAGAACAGAGTATTGGGGGCAAGCTGCACATGCTCAGTTTGGTGTATATTGCTAGAGAGGGTTTTTTTTTTGTTTCTTGGGAGGGTGCATGTGATCCACACAGGGCCAGTCAGCACTGGGTTTAGTATCATTTTAAGCTCTACAGGGTTTATTCACACAAAATGTATATTATGTAGGGCACGCTTGTTGGAGCCCAACCTCTGTAGCTGTAAGATAAAGGTGCCAGATGGATATCAGGATGGATGGATGGGAGCAGTAAGACTGAGGCAGCTCTTCTTAGAGTGGAAGCAAGGCTCTAATGCAGTAACAAGAAAAAGAGAGGAAGGCGCCTCTAAGTGCAGTATTGACTATTTAGTAAACAATGGAAAATTTGCACTTACAAGATAAACGGTTAAAAAGACTCTTCGTGTGGTAAATTAGATCCAGGTGGGACACCCAGCCGTCCAGCAGCAAACTCTGTCTATAGGATCAGGAAGTAGAGTCCAGGATGTGCCTGTGCATCAAAAATGAAGCTTGGAGAGCAGACTCAGATGTAGCAGGTGAAGGGGGCGGTAATGCATTTCGGAGCATGCTCAATAGGCTCCTTCTACCTGAAGAAGGAGCCTATTGAGCATGCTCCGAAATGCATTACCGCTCCCTTCACCTGCTACATCTGAGTCTGCTCTCCAAGCTTCATTTTTGATGCACAGGCACATCCTGGACTCTACTTCCTGATCCTATAGACAGAGTTTGCTGCTGGACGGCTGGGTGTCCCACCTGGATCTAATTACCACACGAAGAGTCTTTTTAACCGTTTATCTTGTAAGTGCAAATTTTCCATTGTTTACTAAATAAATTGTCAATAGTGCACTTAGAGGCGCCTTCCTCTTTTTTTCTTTTTATCCACACAAGCCCGCCTGAGCGAAGGCATGCAGCTTTTCATGGCTGTACAAATGCCACAGCAAAAGTCAAGTGATGTTGAGAGCGTTGTGGCACTGCAAATGTACCTGTACAATGTACATGATGGTGCGCCATTGAAAGGATTAAAACAGGTGGTGAGTAGGCAACATTTCGCCATTCAAATGTTAGCTGCACATGTGAATTAGCTCAGAGACATTTAGTCCTCGGTCACACTGGATGCGAATTGACACGTGACTTGCAAATTGCATGCCAAGTCACACCCTATTGTCTGCTATTAGAGCAGTCATATTGGTGCGGTTATGACTTGGTCAGAGCCGCACCGATTTCTAAAGTAGTACATGCATTAGTTTTGGTGCGATTTGCATAGACATCTGTGTCAAATGTCTTGCAAATCGCACATGAAATCAGCATATCATTGAACTTTGAAATTGTGCGACTTCACTCTACGTTGCACCATTTCAAAGTCAGGTTTGGTATGACTGGGGTGTTAGGGTAGATTTACACCAGATGCGGTGGGACTGTGTTGCACGGCTATTGCAGCACAATTCCACCACATGGACAAGGCAGAAGGCTTTGTCTTCTATGTGCCCAGTTCATTACTATGGTGTGTGGAGAAAAATTACTGCATGCAGTACCTTTATCAACACAGTGCAGTGCAAAGCAATTCATTTCTAATGACCAGCTTCTGTCCAATGGTCTAGCTTGAAAACCAGCATTCAATCAGCGCTTGCAGCCAATGGCTGCAACTGCTGATCAGTGAATTCTGGAGGGGCAAATTTACCTGTCAAAATACAATAGCTCAGAGGAAGAAATCCCTGCATCATACATTTTATTTTGTTCGACCTGCTGGTTGAAAGACAAAAAACATGCCATTGGCTCCTGCTGTTGTCAATAAAATTCCTATGACGAGAGAGCAGGGGATTGGAGCAAAGCCCCGTTGTCTCTGTCTATGGACACAGGCAGCAGAGCTCGGGAGTGAGCCAGCACGAGTACCTCCCTGAGCAAGCAGTTTGCTAGGGGGGGTATTTGGCAGGAGGGAGAAGCTAGGAGGGCCAGTGGGGAACCCCAGAAGAGGAAGATCGGGGCTGCCATGTGCAATACTATTGTACACTGCAGGTAAGTATGACATGTTTGTTTTAAGAAAAAAAATGAAAAGATTTAGAAACACTGTAAAGTTTTAGCTACCCTTACAGTTTAAAGTCTCAGAAAAAAAAAAACAAGACTTCCAAAAAAATTTAATCATTTTAAAATTAGTTTCACTAGTACACAACATAAAAATGTACATAAAATAAGAAAGTACATAACATAACACTTTAGGCGCACCCTGAAAACCCACCTCTTCAGGAAAGCCTACCCCACCCCCTGCTAATTGCCGACCTCCTCCACTCTTCCTACCACTCCATCCCCCACAGCCATTTCCTCTTGTACCACTATCCCCTCCCTCCTAGATTGTAAGCTCCAAGGAGCAGGGCCCTCGAACCCCTCGTGTATCACATTGTATTGTTATTGTACTGTCACATGTTCTGTCTCCCTTTGTAATGTACAGCGCTGAGCAAACTGTTGGCGCTTTATAAATACTGTATAATAATGTGTGTGTAGGTGTCAGGATATGGACAGTTAAGCGTGACGTCAGAGGCAAAGAAAGGGATGAGGGCTTCTGGCTTCTGTGATGTATGACTTGCCAGTTCCAATTACCTCTATAATGTGTATTCTAAGGCTGGCCATACACTATACAATTTTCTGTCCAATTTCCTTTAGATTTACCTTCAATTATGTAGTGCAAGGGCCTGCCTAATTGGATACAATTGAAAGTGTTGTTTAGGTTTGACCTCCTATTATTATATGGTTTTTGGTAAATTTAAACCAAAAATCTCAAGAAATTTGTATAATGTATGGCAAGCCTAAAGCAGGCCATAGATGGGTCGAAAAACAGCCGTTTTTAACCAAAAAAACCCAAAAACCCACCAATGTTAAAAAAAAAAAAAAAAAAAAAAAACGGCTAATTTTCGTCCCGTCTATAGCCAACATTTAACCCCATAATTACTTCTGTCCCTTGCAGAGACAGGGGAGCAATACATAAGAATAATAAGAGGAAGAAAAAGAAATAGAAGAATAATTCCAGTCCACTATTATATTTTATATGAAAAGTCTTGCAGTTGCAAGACCTTCTCCTTCTCAGATTTTTTTATCGGTAAACCGATCGGCCAATTTGCCCATCATTGCCGGGAAAATCGGCCGATCATCAAAATTGGCCGCAAGTTTTCCAACATGCCCGATAAAAAAAATGTGCAAAAAGCCAGAAAAACTGCCGACCAATTAACCCACTAACGGTGCAAAAATCGGGCGATTTTTTTTTTTTTTTTTTTTTTTTTTTTTTTTTTTTCCGGCCAAAACATCAACCCATTTTCAACCCGTCTATGGCTAGCATTAGGTTTCATTCACACAGCCGAAAAATTCTGCACATACAAGTGTTTTTTAATTACGGATTGGAACACAGATTCATTATTTTCACACAGGTGCATAAAACATGAGCAGCTTTCAGATTCATAACCCAGAATCCAAAAACCTGCATCGATGAACATGTGATTTACATGTTTACGCATATAAATGCATGTATGTACATTTGTATGCGCTGAAAATTAAATCCAAATAAAAGGCCTACAAATTATCATAAAAACAAATTATGTACACATAGGAATCTTTATACATCTTTACTTGTTTAACCACATCTATACGCAAGTATTTTGATCATTACTCAGGAACTTTTCCCCTAGAAAACACAGTAAAAATGTTACTGCCGTGTGAATGAAGTCTTACAGCCAATAAATCTGAGAAAAATAATCAGACATGTGTCTTCTTAAGAACCTAACATTTTTTTTTCAGAACAAATGCCGTGTATCATTAATTTCAGTACACTTTTTTATTTGTTATATAATTTTATTTTAGGTTTATGTTGAGGGGCCCCTGAACCCGAATTCCAGCACTGAAGGGAAGCTGGAGCAGGGAGCCCAGGTGAGTGTGAATAGCTGCTGTCCGCCGGTGTTCAGAAATAATAGAACAGGTTGCATGTACCTGTGGTTAGAGACAGTTGGATGTGTCCAGAGGCGATCGTCTGTCCCTAATTGCAGGTAATTGCATCATGACACTAATGGACAGCTATGGTTACTGTCAGGCCATCACTGCTTTGTGCTTCCCATATGCAGGTGGCCAATCACATCTTAGCTTCCAACCACATTTTTCTGAAAGATACTTGCTGTGTGAATTTTGCCATGTGAATGAGACCTACATTTCTCAGTCTTATCCTCATTATAATAGAGTCCCCATGCCAGTCCAAACGTTCTTTTTCCCTAGGCTGCTGAGAGGGCCACCGCTGTCTGTGTGAGAACAGAAATTTCTCGGCAGCGGGCCAACTTGCTCCCCACTGAGTCAGATCTAGAGCTGTGCGACCAGCGAAGATTGTCCAGTTTTAGCTTAGACTCAGCGGGTGGTGTGATGGATTGCTGCCAACAGATCGGTGTTCTCACTCAGACAGCAATGGTCCTTCTCTGCTGCTTCTATTATAAAGAAGATAGGAGTAAGTCATTTAGGCTAGGTTTACACCTATGCAGTTTGCGTATGATCCATTTCTGCAGTGCATTTTGCACATGTGTTTTTCACTAGTTTTGATGCGTTTTGCGGGTTTATTTAGTTATTTTTCTAGTTGCTAGGCAGATTTAAAAAGCATAAAAAACATATACAAAACACACTACATGCTTTTCTGCAGCATTTCAATTGAAGTCTATAGAATCAAAAACGAAACTTTTTGTTTTTAAAAAAGTCCCTGGCCCTTTCCAGAAAACGCACCGGGTGAAAAGGCGGAGATGTGAACGTGTCCCATAGGAAATCATGTTAAATGGACTTTAGGGCATTTCTGCAAAACACAAAATGCTGGGGAAAATGCTTAGGTGTCAACCTAGATTTTGTGCTCATTCACATAGCTAAATTGGCCATGGTGTGACCCCAGCTTTTGGAGAAACCATTGAGCATTTAATCTTTGATAATAAAATCTCAGTTTATAATTATAATTTGACCTATTCAAACCTCCACTTTTTTTATT